TTTTTTTTTTTTTGGATCTTTCTACATGTATATAAAGATTTACTTAATGATTACATAATGTGAAAATGACACTCTACCATTTGCTAGTTTAAAACACAATCAAACTTTTCATCCAATTTTTCCCCCCACATCATATTAAGAAATCCATTATATACATTTTTTATGTTCAAGTAGCAATATCCTTTTTTTTTCTTTTTTTTTTCAAGTCTTTATATATCTGTATATGGAATCTTGTACGGTATTCCCTTTAATTTTCCGCATCCTATCTCGTTATCTTTTTGTCCTGCTTTGAAAACTTATTACTGATATTTGCACAGGATTGCATTTCCGCATTATTTTATTTTATGGAAATCTTATAAAATTTGTGCAGGTGAAAGATTGGGCCGCGGTATTGTTACTGATGCAATAACTACCCCTGTAGTTAACACGTCTGCTTATTTCTTCAATAAAACTTCTGAGCTCATTGATTTCAAGGTATGGACAGTTGTTTAATATGGCAATCAATGCATCTGGAGAATGATATGTATTCTTAGTAAATAGAAAAGCTTAATGATTGGGAAGTGCCTGCCTAAGTTTAGGTTTACACCATGGAAATGATTTATGGAACACTAACCAAAAAAATTGAAATTAGTGCCTCACACCCTTGTGGAGATATTCTGTACTATTATACAATTGGTGGTTGTGACAAATTAAGTGACATGCTTTGATCTGTTGGCAGGAAAAAAGACGTGCAAGCTTTGAATATGGACGCTATGGTAATCCTACTACTATTGTTGCGGAGGAAAAGATAAGGTCACTTCTGTCTTCCAGTACTCTCTCTTTTAGCATGTAATTTACAAGAGAAATGGAGTAATTAATATGAGGCCATAATTTCTATTTTCTAACTGAAATAGTGCACTTGAGGGATCTGAATCGACGCTTTTGATGGCATCTGGAATGTGTGCCAGCACTGTCATGTTATTGGCTCTGGTTCCTGCTGGTGGGCACATTGTGACAACCACTGACTGCTACAGGAAGACTAGGATATTTATTGAGACCATTCTGCCTAAAATGGGAATCACGGTATATTCTTGACCCAACCATTTGAACCATCATTCTTGTCCTGATTACGGTCATTCAAGAGATAAGGAATTTGTATCATTGTATACAAAGAAAAGCAACTCAAAATTTTTCTTTAACTATGCTATAAATCTAACCCTTTTTGCCCTCTGTTCTAGTTACTGCATTATCTACAAAATGATCTAATAAAATGAAATTATCTGCCATTATATCATACTATATCAGTTTTGGTCTACTGCACTCTTGCGATTGCCTTCTTGTGTGAATGTAGCATTTTCGACACATGTGAATAATATGCCCCAAATGAATAATAATTTTTATTCTACAAATAGAATCAAGTCATAAACAAGGGAAGTGAAATGGAAAAACAGTATATTTCTGTTATGGTCTCCATTTTTGTTAGTACAGAGCATTGGCTTTGGAACATCGAAGTATTGACATTCTTCCTTTTTATTATTACCATATGCAGGCCACGGTCATTGACCCTGCAGATATTGGAGCTCTGGAGACTGCATTAGAGAAGCACAAAGTGAGCATTGAAGAATGTTTCCCAAATTCATTTTCTTTTGTCAGGATTCAAGTGACTGTTATGAAAACATGAGGAATATTGAGCAAAGGTCAATTATCTTTCCAATGCAGGTGACACTTTTCTTTACTGAGTCTCCAACCAATCCATTCCTGAGATGCGTTGACATTGAGCGGGTTTCGAAACTTTGTCATGAAAAAGGAGCCCTGGTGGTCATTGATGGGACATTTGCAACACCTCTGAACCAGAAGGCATTGGCCTTTGGTGCTGATATTGTTGTGCACTCTGCAACTAAGTATATTGCGGGTCATAATGATGTATGTTGTTTCTGATGGATTTATTTAGGTCCAAATTTCAAAAACTGTGATTGTTAATGTTGTGCATTTTTGTTTATAAACCTACTACATTTCCTTTGCAGGTTCTTGCTGGTTGCATCAGTGGTCCTGAGAAGCTCGTTTCAGTAGTTCGTAACTTGCATCATATTCTGGGTGGTGCTCTCAATCCTGTGAGTAATCTTGTTTGTAGATTCTCTTGGCAGCAATATTTGTCATATCTCTTTGCATATCTTACAATCCTTAACCTCTGATACTCGGACTCTTCGAAATGGTTGAAGTACCTGTGTCGGATATGACACGACATGGTATGAGTATGGGATGTGTCGGATCCTTTAAGTTTTAACTGAAAACTTCGTCATTTTTGCTTCTTCTTCCTTTTTCTTCTTTCTTTTTTTGTTCTTTTCCTTTTCTTTCTCCTTTTTTTGCCCTCTATAGACCTAGCGCTGCCTCCCGTAGGGTAGAGAAGGCGACGGCGCTATGTTTTCCATTTTTCTTCTTCTATCTTTTTTCTTTCCCTTTTCTTCTTTTCTTTCCTTTTTTCCCTCTGTATCGGTGTTTAAGGGTTTTGTTTGTATAAAAATAAAAATGGGTTCCATATAGTGCTACTTAGTGCTCTACTAAGTTCAAATTGCAATCAAATCTCTCATTTTCTATTTTATATAACATCTAGTAATTAATTTTTCATAATTGAAAACTAAACCCCAAAATTCTATATTATTCGTTTTAACCCCTTATTCAATATTCATTTCTTTGACGTACTCACGTAC